AGGATATGCTACGACTAGATCCTTAATAAATGTGAGCACATTTAGGTCGTGACCATCTATGTTTAGATGAGACTGACGTCGACAACAACCATAAAGGAGCATTTGTGCCACGAAGAAGAAAGGCGTCATGTGTAGCATCACTGGACAAAGGCATGAAGATCCTTATATGAAAGCTGAGGCATGATATTGCGGTCGATCTGTTTATATCGATGGGCAACTCTCGTCCATCCTCTTCGGTTACCTCACTCTATGTATTTCCAGTGTTTCTTAATCCGACTGAAAAAAAAAATCTTAGTGTGAGTTGTCACGAGGCATTATCCGTTATAAGGGGTTTACAACTTGCAGATCATTTTTGAGAAGAATGGGAAGAGGTCACGGGGAGGACAGCACAGATGATCTATCCAATCTCCCTAGATGGAAAACACAGTGCGTGATAACACACCAACCACCCCGAAGAACAGTATTTGAACACGCTCGGCACAGATTAAAGTCATGTTCGACTCTTTCCTTTGCAATCGGAAAAGTTGACTTAGGAGGCCCTTTTATACAATATTGTGTTTTAAATCCGGATGTCTCTTAGTGACTCGGTTCTATTGTTTTTCTGATGGGGCTCCGTTAACAGGACAAATTAAATTCCAGTTAAATTATATTTATTGTCGTCAGCACTAACGCCAATTGCTAAAGTTAGTGGCAAATTCGTTTTGGGAAATTTGTGAAATTTTCTGCAAGTAGTTACTTTAGGACCAGCATTGGATTCGATTCAAACAGCTACCGATGAAAATGAGCTTTCCTGTAAAGTAAAACTTTATTTCTGTAATTAGCTTAACGTTCTTCAGTTTCTTCCTCTTAGGCTCTTCAAATTCGTCAAGCTTTTCAACGTTCTCATTTGATGCCGCATCCAGCAAAAGATGCAGCCTTTATTTATTTATTAAGACAGCGTTTAATTGTATGCTATGCTGTCCTCGGGCAGTAAAATAATGGCGCATTAGAAGCCCAATCGCGTTGCAGATCGCAACTGTGTTTTCCCAACAAGTCCCTTAATATTCGAGTAGCTAAATAATTAATAGACACAATAAATGTAAGTACCCCAATGAGTGAATTTATGTACAGGTGAAGAAAACGTGGAACCTTAAAACT